TTCAGCTAATCCAAAAGTAACCAGGTGCAGGTGGTAATTGGGCAACTGGCTCAAGACTCTGAATACACTAAAACTTTTACTCAGCTTGATATTACACTGACAATTCTAAATAATGTCAGAAATAAAATATTCTTCCTCACCATAATATTTTAACTGGTACTCTAAACTACTGCTGTGGTTAATGCTGAGTTTAATTAACAACATGTAAGTGTCAAACTTGAATAGTGCCTTTAAAAGGAATTTGTTCAAGTTCATTAGTAAAGCCTCCAGTTAGTTCCAACATGTGGGACTCCATCTGCATCCAATCCTGTGATATACACACACAAACACGCAAACACACACACACACACCCCTACCTTTGTGCTTGAATAGTTAATAAAATATAAAAATGTGGTGGCTCAAGTGTTGGAGTACTAGCCTTGAGCAAAAGCAGCTCAGGGAGGTTGGGAAAGTGGCTCAGTGGTAAAGCGCTTGCCTTGCATGCCTGAGGCCCTGGGTTCGATTCCTCAGCACCACATAAGCAAAAAGAAAAAAGCCGGAAGTGGTGCTGTGGCTCAAGTGGTAGAGCGCTAGCCTTGAGCTGAAGAGCTGAGAGACAGTGCCCAGGCCCAGAGTTCAGGAGGCCCCACGACTGGACCGTTCTCTCCCCCCCCCCCCCCAAAAAAAGTCCAATTCCCCAGGACTGGTAAAAGAGAAAAACAAACAAAAATGTGTATCTTTTTCCTTCCTGGATTTTTTTTTAATTATCTCTGATGTAAGTATTTATAAAGAGGCAGAAACTGCCCTGAACAAATACCTTGTGAAATACGAAGCCTTACAACTAGATTACAGAGTAAAAAGCAGAAATTTGAATCAAATTTCAAAGGCATTAACCAAACAGCAAAATGTACAGTAATTTACTGGGTGAAACCCATCATATTAAATAATAATTTTCATCAAGTAGACATCTCAATCACCAGAATCAATGTCAAATGCAAAAAGATGGTGTTTCTCAAATTTACTGTGAAAATAAATTACAAATTTCTGCAAAACTCAATCTTATAGGTAAGATTTCTAGGTCGACTATTGTCTACCTGTTGCTTCCTATAAACCTTTGTAGGTTAATTTAAAAAGTGTTCTTCAGGGGGCTGGGAAGATGGCTCAGTGGTAGAGTGCTTACCTCGAATGCATGAGGCCCTGGGTTCAATTCCTCAACAACACATAAGCAGAAAAAGCCAGAAGTGGCACTGTGACTCAAGTGGTAGAGCACTAGCCTTGAGCTGAAGGTCAGCGCCCAGGCCCAGAGTTCAGGCCCCACAACCGACAAAAAAAAAAAAAAAGTGTTCTTCAATTGTGAATGTAGCTGATGAATCTAACTATTGAGTTGTCTACCAAATACATCATACCCAGGAAAAACCATAGCTTATGGAATGGAAAAATTGAATTCTTAATTCCATTTTTGAGTCACATTGGTTTTCTGGGCCAATTTACTGTAGTGCCTCAGTGGAATATAAAGGTTTCTATATATTTATCTATGCCTTTATAAGCACCACTAAAGAGTTCAAATCAATACTACCAAAATTCGAACTTGTCATTCCTACTAACAATAGTTTCAGTTATTTTTCTATGCGGTCACTCTAAACTGTACAGTACTTAAAAAATTATACTATTTCAACAAATGTCTTCATATTAAAGGTTCCTCATTTATGAGGCATTTTCCCCACCATATTATCAAGGTGTATTTAAAATGGTATTTTAGTGTTTGTAGATATCTATATGAAGTTACCCAAAAATGACCATTTATCTGCTCATTTTTAACAACCTAGTATGTGAACCTGGTTTTAAACAAAAAACTACCATTTTGTCAACTTTCTATTATTAGGTAGTTTATTCCAAATTGTTTCACAAGATTTTTCTTTTTTTTTTTTGGTCAGTCGTGGCGCTTGAACTCTGGGCCTGGGCGCTGTCCCTCAGCTCTTCAGTTCAAGGCGAGCGCTCTACCACTTGAGCTACAGCACCACTTCCGGTTTTCTGGTGGTTTTATTGGAGATAGGATTCTCACGGTCTCTCCTGCCCGGGCTGGCTTTGAACCGCGATCCTCAGATCTCAGCCTCCTGAGTAGCTAGGATTACAGGCATGAGCCACCAGCGCCTGGCTTTCACAAGATTTTTCAACCAAACTTTTCCTTTACTCTTATTTCTCCCTGAATCAATTCTAATCATGCATACAGATAATTGTCAAAATACTTGACAAACTGATTAGATAAATGCTACTTGGAAACTGCTAAAGAGCCATCCTTATTCTACTATTAAGCTGGACTTGAACTGATGTCAAAGATTAAAAATTCCCTGAGAATTAAGAACAAAAGAAATCTCTAACTTGGGTAACAGTCAAATGAGGTAAGATAAATGACTAATTTATTCCAGACACTACTAAGAACATTGTTTGAACCCTTTGCCCATTTTTTCTACTTAGGCCTCTAAGAAAAGTATGATCAAAACCAAAAGATGAGTGCTAGGAATGTAGCTTAGTGGTAGAATGCTTGCCTCCAGCATACATGAAGCCCTGGGTTGGATTCCTCCGTACCATATAAACAGAAAAAGCTCCTAAGTTTCTGTGGCTCAAGTGGTAAGAGTGATAGCCTTGAATAAAAGAAGCTCAGAAACAGTGCCCAGGCCCTGAGTTCAACACTCAGGACTGGTAGGAAAAAAAAAGATAAAAAAAAAGATGGTTATTACAGGCTAAAAACATACAGATGATCTATTGTAAAGGGCAATCATACTTAGTAATCAACAAAATATAAAAATTTACAGTGAAGCCAGGTACTGGTGGCTCATGCCTACAATCCTAGCTACTCAGGAGGCTAAGATCTAAGGACTGCTGTTCAAAGCCAGCCCAGGCAGGAAAGTCCATGAGATTCTTACCTCCAATAAAATCACCAGAAAACAGGAAGTGGCACTGTGGCTCAAGTGGTATAGTGCTAGCCTTGAGCTCAGGAGTGGAGGGGCAGAATCCAAGCCTCACAACTGAGACACACAGACACACACACAATTTTACAGTGGAAGTAAGCAGCAGCAGTCAGCTCTATATTGCGAAGTGGAACTTAGCTATTTCCTTCAGGGTGAATGAACCAACATCAATTCATACATTAAGTATCATCAAGTATTCACAAAGTTTAAACATCTGACTTTAAAGATAAAAATGAGTATTAAAACTATTCATATATCCTTCCTACATTGCAAAAAGAAATCATATATACCAATTCGGTGCTACAATTCTTTTTATTTCAAGAACCCCTGGAATCCTTAAGTCCTTTTCAGTGGCCTGTGAGGCCAAAACTGTGTTCATATTAATTATATCTTGCCATTTTCACTCATTTTCTCATAAGTAACACAGCATTTCCCCCTAGAGGCTGATGCATTAATATGAGACTGAACGAAAAAATAGATGATCTAGGTTTCATTAAACTAAAGATTAAGTGAGATTTATTTTTAAAAAAAAATGGGGGAAGTGGCACTGTGGCTCAAGTGGTAAAGCACTCACCTTGAGCCGAAGAGCTGAGGGACAGCGCCCAGGCCCAGAGTTCAAGCCCCACAGCCGACAAAAAAAAGGGGGGGAGGCTCCTGCGGGAGAATACTTCATTGGGAGATGTTACTCTTCATTAAAATGGTTATTTAGGTTTATATGCAATAAGCTCTTTTTTCTGGTGGGAAGTGAGGAGGTAGATGGGGTATGCAGAGCCTAGGGCTTGAACTCACCTAGGCGCTGTCTCTGAGCTATAGATTTATGTAGAGTTTAGAGCTTGATTTTTCTCTACCCCAGCTGGCTTTGAACTACAATCCTCAGATCCCAGTCTCCTGAGCAGCTAGGATTACCAGCTACCAGAAGCCATCAGCTCCTGGCTAATGAGCTCATCCTCCATCCACCAGTACTGGAGTTTGAATTCAGGGCTTTGAACTTGGTAGGAAGATGCTATACTGCTTGAGCCACATCTCCAGTCCTGATAAGCTCATTTTAAAATATAAATACATCTCATAAATTTCTAATAAGAGAAATATCAGTACATAAAAATTCACAGATAAAGAAGTTAACTTTTATATATTTAAAGGGGTCAAAGTAGGAAAGTTTGAGAACACCTGTCGAAGAGAATGTGCACTAAAACACATGCCTAACAAGACTCATTGACGTTTTGCCAGTACAAAATGAACTAAATCTTCACAGTATTAACATTTAAACATACACACAAACACACACACCACACACATACACTAAAGAATATGTATAAGCCAAGAAGGAGCTAGTGGCGCATGCTCCTAATCCTAGCTACTCAGAAGGCTGAGGTCTGAGGATTGTGGTTTGAAGCCAGCCCAGGCAGAAAAGTACATGACTCTTATTTCCAATAGAGGCTCAGGACAGCATCCAGGCCCTGAGTTCAAGCCCCAGGACTGGCAAAGGAAAAAAAAAAAAAAAAAGAGTATGTACAATAAATTTCTCATGTTCAACCAGACTGTATACTGTTTATAACCAGTGTTTAACACCAAATTCATTATTTGATTGTCTCTGCTGAGAGGTACAACTGAAGTAGGGATGAAAGAACTTTAAATTGTTTAAATGGCTGCAGGTATGGCTTAAGTGGTACAGTTCAAAATACAGTTCTTACAAAAATCAACAAAACAAATAAAACATACTTAAAAAACAGTTACAGCCGTGAGCTAGTGTCTCATGTCTGTAATCCTAGCTACTCAGAAAGTTGAGATCTGAAGATCAGGGTTCAAAACCTGGGCAAGAAAGTCTATGAGACTCATTATCTCAACCACCAGAAAACAAGAAGCAGAGCTGTGGCTGTAAGTGGGTACAGCACTAGGCTTGAGCATAAAAGCTCAGACAACAGCACTCAGGCCCTGAGTTAAAGCCTCATGATCAACAAGGAAAACAGTTATAATAATCAATTTTTGTTTTATTTTGGGGGGGCACCAGTTTTAGTACTTTTATCAAATGTCTTAAAAATTGCAGACATAAAGGAATAGGAGAGATAAGATGTACTGTTTTACATTTAGAGGAGACAGACTAATTTACAGACTAACTCTTCACAATAAGGAATGTATAAATCACAGAACACAAATACTGGTCGTAATTGATCTTGCTCAGATGTACTCTTGAATCACACTTCTAGCCCAGCCTTGTGCTAGTTATCCTGGAGATGAAATCTCTGCCCTGACTGGCCATGAATGTTCATCCTCTGGATCTGAACCTTCAGAGTAGCTAACAGCAGGTTTGAGCCATCAGCACTGGGCTGATGTAAACTTTTATCCTTGCTCCCTAACTATCTCTTTCCTCTCACCTCAATTTTACTCTAAGTTAACCATTTAGTCTTGCTGCTTTAAACTATGCTTTTCTATATCCCTTCTTGTGAAAATGCTTAAGCCTCTATTTTCATCTAATAAAGACATTATAAATACCTTAATCAGTACCATTTATTAAGGTTTATGATATCTACTATATGAATTGTGTAGCATCAGTGCTGGTTATTATTCTTCTTTACCTTCATTTTTTTTTTTTTTTTTTTGATCATTGGGCTTGAACTGAGGTCCTGAGCACTGTCCCTGAGCTTTTTTGTTCTAGGCTAGCACTCAACCACTTTGAGACATAGTTCTACTTCGTTTTTAGATAGTTAATTGAAGATAAGAGTCTCAGGACTTTCCTGCCCTGGCTAGCTTTGAACCACAAGCCTCAGATCTCAGCCTCTTAAGTAGTTAGGATCACAAGCATGAGTCACAAGCACCCAGCTTTACCTTCATTCTTCAAGGGACTTTTCCTCCAAATCCCTCACAAACAAATCTCGAGTCCAAATTTGATCTTTTATTTCTTTTTCCCCAACAACTCAACACTAAGCTTCAAATTTTCATAACTCTCAAAGATTTCAGTGTCCTTCTTAAGTCTTTTTTTGTTAAATCTCTTGGATATTATACAAAATACTGTATCTTCAAACAGCAATTAAGTTTGGGATATCTACATTCAATTTCCAGCTTTACCATTAGTTAGCAATGTACCACTAGGTGAATTAAAGCATTTCCCCCATCTATAATTGGATGTTTGGTAGTAATATGTATATATTATAAAGTTACACATGTATATATAAAAGTTACTGGCACTCTATAAATGCATAATAATCAATTTCTTTATCTCTCACCTTCTATCTTCTCACTCCTGGATGTCTCCCTCAATCTCCTGGTTGATTCCAAGTTTGAACACTACATGTCCAACTGCTTGTCAAAAATATCTACATGACATTTCCACATATAACTCAAATTCAACTATTCAGAAATCACACACATTCTTCTCCACAGAATATAGTTTTGATGACTGTTTGACTTCTGTCAATGGTATAACTGTCTCAACATTTAGAATGTGTAGGCAAAAGGTGCTTATAAACGTATCAAATGCCAAGATCCATGAATTCTTTTGGCTCTCATCCTTCCACTCTTCAAAACTATACTTGTCAAGTTCACGTTTTACTTAGGTCTCCAACTTCAAGCTCCTGTTGGCCAATCTTTCCCAAGTCTTTGCCTTCTACAGTATACCACTACAGATCAAGAAGTCTTGATTGTAATATCCCACTACTTAAAACCTTCAATGTTTATCCACAGCCTAAAAGTGAAATTCACGTACATCACACAAACAAATTTGTCAGGCTCCAAATTATATTACCAACCTTCGAGAGCTTCAAGAGTCAAACTAACACACTCATTTCTCAGCCCAATTGCCCTTTTAATAATGTTCTTCTCTTCCCAAGTCCTCGTGGATTCTCCCATGGCCATCCCACAATACACAGGAGCTCACATGAAGCAGTTCTATTATAAACATATTTGCTCATGTTTTTCATCTATTAAACTCCTAAGTGATGAGATTCTTCTGCAGTTTTCAGGGACGTAGTTGTACAGCTGAGTAGACACTCCAAATTTTTTTAAATTTAATTTTATTGTAAGGGTGATGTACAGAGGGGTTATTGTTATACAAGTAAGATAATGAGTACATTTCTTGTCAAACATTGTTATTCCCCTACATACTTTTCTTCCACTTTCCCTCCTCCCTTAAATGTTAAATGAAGACTAGATTGAGAGGTTCAAGGTTTCAAGAACTTAATGAGTAACATTTCATGAATAGGAAGAAATAGTTCAGAAGACAGAGTATGGTTTTTGAAAGTCAGATTGATTTCACAAGAAAGTTCCAATCTAGCAGAATAGAACTGGCTGGCAACATATACCTAGCATAAAAGCAATGTGCACATAAAAGTGTAGGAATAGCAATGAAGGGCTGGGAAGGTGGCTCAGTGGTAGAGCGCTTGCCTTGCATGCCTGAGGCCCTGGGTCCGATTCCCCAGCACCACTTAAGCAAAAAGAAAAAAGCCGGAAGTGGCGCTGTGGCTCAAGTGGTAGAGCGCTAGCCTTGAACTGAAGAGCTGAGGGACAGCACCCAGGCCCAGAGTTCAGGCCCCATGACCGGACCCAAAAAAATAAAAATAAAAATAAACAAAAATAAAATAGGAATAGCAATGAAAATTACTGTCAAGGGCTGGGAAGGTGGCTCAGTGGTAGAGCGCTTGCCTTGCATGCCTGAGGCCCTGGGTTGGATTCCTCAGACCACATGAGCAAAAAGAAAAAAAAAGAAAAAAAGAAAATTGTCAGGCACCGGTGGCTCACACCTCTAATCCTAGTTACTCAAGAGGCTGAGATCTGTGGATGGTGATTGAAAGCCAGCCCTGGCAAAATCACTCAGAAAACCGGAAGTGGAACTGTGGCTTAAGTGATAGAGAGCTAGCCTTGAGCTGAAGAGCTAAGGGACAGTGCCCAGGCCCAGAATTCAAGCCCTACAACCAACTCCCCCCACTCTCCCCCAAAAAAGAAATGAAAATTATTTGAGGAAAACAACTAGAAAAAAATGTTCTTTTGCTTATTTAAAAAGGCCAAAATACTCTTTTCAAGGAGTCAAAAACATTCCTAATGTTGGCTTTTCCAAGTATGCTTAAAGTTTTGGATTAATGTAAGATACTTTAATAATGTATTTGATGTCAATTTCCATAGTTCCTGAAATCGGAAGTACTTTTGATTCTAAAAATCCACCCTCCTCTTTTTCTGAAAAGCATTCAAGTTACTTTTCATCTGAGGAGAGAAATTATGTTTGAAATCGTTTAGTAATTGTGCCATTATTTATTACAAGTTCTCATCCATTTATCTGCTAGACACCTGCTACGATGGGGAAGACAGGGAAAACAGCAGAAATTCCGTTTTTGTAGAGCCAACATTCCAGTCAATTTTACCTTCAAGAAACAGTACATGTTCAACCTTGAAATATGTGGACCATTATCACAAATGTTCTGATAACCAAAACCGAGTTATTATTTTGAAAATCACCACTACTGAATCTTTTCAAGTAATATCCTGTAACAGTTGCCACTACTGCAGTTAAAACACTGCATGTGCCCCTCAGAGCAGCAAGATGAATGTAGATAATTTGCACGGCAACGAATGACCTCAACTGTGGTGTTCTTGTGAATCGTAATGCACTACAAAATCCAAAGTAGCCCCACAATTCTAAGCTGGAAGTATGAAATCTCATTGTGAGACGTTCGTTAAGTTTTGGACGTTAGGTCTACACATTTGAAATTACTACATCTTTTTTTTTTTTTAGTTTGAAAATGAAAGATAATTTAATTCAACCCAACCACAATAGTTGCCACGCAGCTCCTGAATTTTTAAGCATCAATGGTTGTCTCCTCGCAAATCAATTCTGACAATTAGGCAGGGTACGGACTTCCACCCCCCCAGAAGCCAGCCCAGGAATGATTTACAGTTAGGACTAGGAAGCTTTAAGGCGGAAGGCAGCTTTGTTCCGGGCTGAGGAAGGTTTTCACATGTAAATGTCTCCCAAGAACCGAGGATTAACTGCCCCCGGAGGCGGGTGGCAGGGAGAGGAACCCCAAGGCCAGTGCCCGACTTCCTAGCGGACTGAGGCGGGGCAAATACTCTCCCTCTCCCATTCAACTTTTTTAGGCGTCACGCCGGTCCGAGGGGTTGCGTTCACGACTCCGAAAGAGGAGGAGACACGCCGCTCGCCCAAAGTGTGGGGGATCCCGGAGAATGGGGGGGGGGGGCGGACACCCTCTCCAACTCCTCCCGACCCGGGATCAGAGTCCAGCGGCCGCCCAGGCGCGGCCTGAGCAACAGGAGAGCCCAGGCCGCTTGCTCCGCGACCCGTAGCCCGCCCCCCAGCCCCACCCGCCCGCCCGCGCCGGTTCCTCGGCCCCCCGCCGGCTCCCGGCACCGCGCAGCCCGTAGCGGGGCTGGAAGCGGAGAGCCAGGGCCAGCGGGGGGCGCCGCTGGAGGACCCCGCGCCGCCGCGGGGCCGGGTGGGCCGGCCGGGGTCGGGTCGCCACCCGGGGGCCGGCGGGGGAGGGGCGTGGGGTCAGTTCCCGTGGTGGCCGCGACCTCTCCCGGCCCCACAGGCCGCTCCGCGCAGGCCCCGCCGTCCCAGAACCCGAGCAGGAAGCGTCCCCACCCCGACTGAAGCTTTAAACTCCTGGCGGCGGGAGAAGCCAGCCGGCTCCCCTCCGCAGGTCCGCACCCCGAACCCTCAACACCCCTCACCTCCTGGTTAAAGGCGTTGACGGCGTCCATGTTCGCGCTGAGGCGGCGGCGGCGGCGGCTTCGGGCCCGCCGGTCACATAGACCTCGCGCCGCGGCGAAGCGGGGCTAGGAGCCGGCGGGGCCTGAGGCGCCGGGGGCGACGAGCGGCGGAGGCCGAGGCCCGGCGGGCAGGGGGCTGCGGCCGAGGCGGCGAGGCAGGCAGGCAGGCAGGCAGGCGAGCGGGCGGCCGGGCTGAGGCGAAGGGGTGGCGGGCCCCTGCTCAGTCCCTTTCGCTAGATAAGGAAAAGGAGGCGGCGGCGGCGGTAGCGACGCTGGTCTCCAACATGTCCGTTTGGTGGTGGCGGCTGCGCTCTGCGTCTCGCTGACACGGCCCCCCCGCGCCCTCACGCACTGGTCCGGCCGGCGAGCGAGCGAGCGAGCGGGCGGGCCTCTCTCTCCCTCTCGTCTCTCTCCCCCTCTAACCAGCGGGATGGCGGCAGCGGCCTGACTCCACGCCGCGCGGAGCACCCTGGGACAGCTCGGGCCTCCAAGCGCTTCCTGCGTCGCGCGCCCGCCCTATCCCGCCCCGCCCCTCGCGCGCTTGGACACGCCCACGTCCCGCCCAGCCCCGCCCACGCCGCGCGCCGAGGCCGCTGGCGCGTGACGACGACGGAACGCTGAGCGCTTTCCCGCCCGCGGCGGCGGCGGTGGCGGCGGCGGCGGCGGCGGCTACCGCGGGCCCCCGGCCCGCCCATGGGGGCGCTCCAGAGCTCGGGCTTCTGGGGCCGGGCGCCAGACGCTGAGACAGCTTTGGCACGCGCGCGCCTCCTTCCCGACCCTGGCGCCTAGGGTGCGTTCTGTGTGCCATTGTGCCCAGGCAGGACCTGCGCTGGGGGTAAGGCAGGCACGGCGCCGCCTGCGCGCCGCTGCCCCGTCCCTCCCCCCACCCCCAACAAAGGGCGAAGGATCTTACCTCAACCCGCCGGGCGGCCGCAGCCGGAGGAGGGCGGACGGGAGGTCGTGTCGCTTCCGTTGCAGCTCGGCACCCTCGCGGCACGCTTTAATTCTGCACCAGCCCAAACCCGGTGCTAGAAGGTTCTCCCGGCGCTGGATACCCACAGAGGCCTGAAGAAACCGCCGAGTAGCCTTGCACCTCCTTGACGCTGGTTTTCCTCTCGAAGTCGTTTCCTTTTCTGCAGAAGCGTTGCCTCGATTCGCTTTCCTTGAGTACTACCCCCAGCCCCCCCCCCCACCCCGTCACTGTGTCCGTTGTCAGGTGCATGGGAATAACAGGATATTTTTTTCCTCCCTGCAGACACCTCTTTTCAACGGAGAGATCAGACAGGTGAGCAGGTATGATAAAGACGTGTGTGAGGCCAGGACATGCCCCAGAGAACAAAGAAGGCAAAGTACTCATACCACTACGGGAAGGCTTTCCAGAACCAGTGGCTCCCCAGGCTGAAAGAAGTAGGGGAAGGTGAGGACCTCCAGGCTGGAGGTGGAAGGAGCTTGAAGAGCACTATGCAGACGATCAGCTGGAACTCAAAGGAGTAGGAACCACAGAATCGAGCCACGCGACGTCCTAATGAGTCCTTTGCCCTAACAAAGTTTGAATTTTGTCCACAAGCCAGTAGGGAGCCCTTGAAGAATTGCACGAGGGTGGTGTAGTGCTCTTGTTCTTGCTGGAAGGATTTGTGTAGAATGGGTTTAGGGAGAGGATGGCTGTAGCTCCTGAGGATGATGATGGCTGAAGGTGATGGCACTGGAGGAAAATCATAGGCCGATGCTTAGGAGGTAGAGAGGAAGCACCGGAAAGAAGGGTGTCAGCAGTATGCTTGAGGTTCTGCTTCAATGAATGACAGGAGTGGTGGGTTTATGAGTGAACTGGGGGAATTTATGAGGAAGGGGTGGGCTTGAGGGATTAATGGTTAACATCTGTAGGTCGCTTACCGTGTGCAAGTGGGCTGTAATTCTGTGTTATTTACTCTCTAGATTTGAGTTGTGTGTCAGGTGACTATTAGGAATCTCCCCTCCCATTTTATGTTGAGGTAGTAAGGCTTAATTCAGTTAACTAATGGGCCTAAGGTCATGTCCATACACAGCTGGATGATTTCCAGTTGTAACCTATGTCATTTGAACTACCCCTAGGACGCATAAGTGAGTCAGTCTGGGAGGCTGTTGGGTAAACATGTGTGGTGTCCTGAAGAAAAGGTAGATGGAGAGCTGGGAGTGTTTACTGCATTGCTTCTAATACTGGGAAGAAAACCAGGGAAGCAGACATTTAAGAACCCGGAGCCTGGCGCTGGTGCCTAACACCTGTAGTTCTAGCTATTCAGGAGGCAGAGATCTGAGGATCACCCTTCGAAGCCAGCCTGGACAGGAAAAGTCTGTGAGACTCATCGCCAATTACCACTAGAAAACTGCAAGTGGCGCTGTGGCTCAAGTGGTAGAGCGCTAGCCTTGATCTGAAGAGCTCAGGGACAGTGCCCAGGCCCAGAGTTCAAGACCCATGACCGACAAAAAAAGAAAAAAAATAGAACAGGAAAGTTGAGAGTAAGAAATAGGAAAGCCAGGTGCCAGTGTCTCACGCTTGTAATCCTAGCCTTTCAGGATGCTGAGATCTGAGGATCACAGTTCAAAGCCAGCCAGGGCAGGAAAGTCCATGAGACTCTTATCTTTAATAAACTGCTCAGAAAACCCAAAGTGATGCTGTTGCTCAAGTGGTAGAGCACTAGCCTTGAGCTGAAGAGCTGAGGGACCGTGCCCAGACCCAGAGTTCAAGCCCCATGACAATAATAATAATAATAAAGTAGAGGAAAACCTGTTCAATACTGAAGGTATAAATCCAGCAAGGTAGGGATTGGAAATTATCTCAACAGGATAATTATGGTTGAAAACAGTTAGTTGTATATTACAAAGTAGCTAGTAGAGAATTTTGAGTATTTCCCAACATAAAGATACAATAAATGTTTTCATAATTCATAAATATGAATACATGTGATGTTCAAGTATTGAAATTTCACCTCATGCCCTATAAAATATTATGTCAATTAAAATAAAAACATTTCTCTTAAAGAATTAGAATTTTTTTGATGGATTCAGTATCTAGAAGCTCATCTCCACCTTGGCTAGATGGTGAATATAGCAGAGGGAAAGGAAGGCAGGAAAAATTTTATAGGCAAGTGAGGATAATGAAAAAGTACAGGATGAAGAGCAAGTTAAACTTGTTTAAGATGTAAAAAATACCCTTGATCAATTATTTGAGTATCAGATTATTAGATCTCAAATTTTATTTTTGGGTCCACAAATCATCTATATTATTACCTTTTGGTCAGCTAAACTACCATCAGATTTTCTAAATTTATTTGTATCTGCAAGAGCTATCATCCACTGGACTATTAATATTTCATGACAAAGTATAGATATTGGTAGATTCCTATCCTCCTCCATTGGCTTTTCTGGATATTATTTTCACTGTCCAAGATCACACCTAGTGCTTAGTGTACAATCCTGGACATATCTGATAACTGACATAGCTGGGCCTCTCTCATGTAAAAGCCTATCCTGCTCCTCCATGTAGGGAGGCCCATTTACCTCCGAATTGAGGTCAGTTTCTTTTGTTAATCATGAATTGACACTTCAGTTGCGGCAAGAATTGTGCTGAAAAGTTTTCCTACGCTCCTCCTACCCAATCTCATACTTCTGTGATCCTACTATCTAAAATGTATTCCCTTGCATTGCTCTTACCTGAAAAAGTCAGCATTCCTTCAATCCACTGTGTCTTGCCCTAACTCAATCTTTTTGACAATAGTGGAAGGGCCACAAAACTGAATGGCTTCTTTCCCATTCACACTATTTTTTTTTATCCTGTGTATCAGACCAGGGAAGCATTAAGTATTGAGCTGAGTCCAAATGAGCTTGGAGAAAAGATGGTAAGTTCACTTTCAACATGGCATCTTTGAGACTTGATAATGATTGTTGAATAGGGAATGAACACATAAAGGGAATACATTCTGTACACCATTCTGTTAAAATTTGACTCAAAGATCTGAGTGTTTGAGTTATATAGCTTTAGACATAGATTCTTTTGCTGCAAAGGATTGTTTTTGTTTTAGTTTTTGTGTTGATAGTGTTTGAAAGGTCTTTAAAAAGTTCTTTCCTTCTTTTGTTTTTTTGGTCGGTCATGGGGCTTGAACTCTGGGCCTGGGCACTGTTCCTGAGCTCTTCAGCTCAAGGCTAGTGCTCTACTAATTGAGCCACAGCACCAGTTCCAGTTTTCTGGTGGTTAATTGGAGATGAGTCTCAAAGACTTTTCCTGTCCAGGCTGGCTTTAAAGGGTGATCCTCAGATCTCTGCCTCCTGAGTAGCTAGGATTACAGGTGTGAGCCACCAGCACTCAGCCTAAATAAGTTCTTAAATGTATGATATCAACCAGACTTAAGGTGTCCTGGCAGCATTTTTGCCCACTGAAGACAGCAGCACTTCTATCTACTTTGGGACACATGGTAACTATTTGTCTGATCACTGCTGGAATTCCATCTCTGTCTCTCTAGGTAGACCAGTCAATTCTTCCATTAATTTTTTTTTTTAGTGGAGGTGGAACACAAATAACAAAGATTCATGAGGACTGTTCTTTGTGAGCAGGCCTTGCAGCAGATAGGAAAGTGGCCAGAGGGTCATAAATAGATGTGACTGATAAAAATCAGCAAGACATTGAATCTACTTTTCAAACTTGCCTTTTTCCAGAGAACATAGATTTAAGCATATTCATTTGTTCATAATGTGGGCGTGAAGATAGTTCTGAAAAATCTGTTATAAACAAACTCATTTTCTGAAGAGTGGATGAAATCAATATTAAGAAGCTATGCACTGATGGCTCATGCCTGTATTCCTAGCTACTCAGAAGACTGATATCTGAGCCCACACAGGAGAGTCCCTGTGACTCTTTTTTTTTTTTTAATTGTGAAAATACCGTACAGAGGGATTACAATTACATGGGTAAGGTAATGAGTGCATTTCTTTCTCTTTTTTTTTGGGGGGGGGGGGGTCCAGTCGTGGAGCCTGAACTCTGGGCCTGGGCACTATCCCTCAGCTCTTCAGAAAGGCTAGCGCTCTACCACTT